AAGTTTCCTCTGAATTTCGTCGACTTGTAAGGGCCCTCGCTTCATTAACGAGCTCCTCGACGTCGACGTTGTCGTCGTTTCGCTTAATTATTCTACCACCACCCGGTACACGTGTTCCGTGCTTTCATTGGACCAACCTCGGTTCTTTTATATCGCTACTCGGGCCAGTGGGTTAATGGAATGTCGTCATCCGTCGTCATTATCGTCGACGATAGGACCTCCACATTCTCATTTTGTGAATCGTCCCGTTGTTACAAAGAGGCTTACTTATAGTGCAGCAACGGTAGCTTTTGTAAACGATACTCGAGTAGTTCCAAGAATTTGTAAAATTTATATGCACACGCGATCTTTTTCTTTATTCGTTGTATTCTTATTACAAATATTTTAATTTTGCATAATTTATTTTATGCAAAATTTGTACTATATTTTATATGTGCTGTCAAAAGATCATTATTATTAATCCCAAATTAAAATAAAGACTGAGAGCCGAATTATTAATCTATTCTTCTTTTTCTTCTTCTTTTTATTATTATATTATTTGTATTATAATTATGAGCTTTTATTAATATCTTAAAATTAATATGATTATAGATATTTTAAAAATTATCAGTATAGAAATTATTTCTATTATTTATTATTAATTCTTTTTTATAACATTTTTTAATTAGGGAAACGATACATTTTATACAATAATACTGTATATACAACTGTCACTTTTCATATAAAAAATTTATATATTATTTTTATTAAAATAAATAAGAATGAATAATATAGTGATTCTATGCAACTTGTTACACAAAATTATTGATTTGAAATTAATGAGAATTAAAGAGAAAGCTTAATATCAGAGAATCTGATATGATTAGATAGCAGATATAAAGTATAAAATTTTTGTGTGAATATTTTCAGTTATTAAAAACACACAATAATATTGCTGAAGTAAACAATTAAATTATCTACAATTATTACGCATAAGTAAATTTTATTTCAATATTACATATCATTATATTAATAAACTGTGTGCATATGTACAAGCATAGTTCATGTATGTATCTATAAAAATTCTATTATATTCGTTGCCTTTGAAATTGCCAAATCAAAAAAATAAGAGGATAAAGAACTTATGCGTTTATAAAAAGATATACTACATCATATATTATTCAAACAAGCGGTCGATTATCATCTCAACGCTATCGCCGTGGTTTTTCTCTGCTCTTTCTTTTACGGCCCCTCTGCAGCCACATTGAGATTTATTCCACTTTTTCTTGCAAAGAGTTCTTCTTTCTTGTGGTGATGTCATGCACAAGTAGTGATACTCTCTTATCGAAAGAAATAAAACGCTTTATAACGCGAGATTGCAGAAATCAGAAACGCTTATGTCAGTCCCCTTATTTGATCGTTGAATGAGATAATTATTATATCATTGTAGTTTTATTTTTAATGCTTCCAAATAAGTAAAGAGAAAATAATTTTGATAAGCTTTAACTTTCTCTCTATACATTCTAACATTTTATAAAAATATTTAAATTTATTGTGTAACTGTATGATTACAAATTATATGAATTTTTGAAAAAGAATTGCAAGTGTCAAATTTATATCTTATATTTAAATAAAAGGTTTTAAATATAATAAATACAACTGCAATTATTTAATATAAAAATAAAAATAATGATCATGCTTTAAAGTTATTTTATAAATTTTAATTCAGAATATAATTTATAATAATTTATAATATTATTTAATATAGAATGATCATTTTATCAAACAAATTTTTAAGTCAAACAAAAATTTTAAGTAAATATTTTGTTGAAGAATTCGCATGAAAAGTAGCACCTGATGACATAATGTACGATGTTTCTAAGAATCGAAATAACAGTTATCATAATCTTTTCGCTAATTTCGATTTAGAAATTTGGAATTTATATCATCTTTGTAATCAAACGTATACCCGTTATTAAGTGCATAATGAATAAAGTCAGTCGCTAAAAATAGATCCTTCAATTGCGTTCGATTTCTATTAACGCTTTGGTTACACGCACGAATAGCATCGCTGTTACTCATAATCAGTCTTGCGTAAAATCGATATGTAATGAGTGTCTGCGGAATACAGACAAGAAATATATAAAATAAAATACAATTAACCTACAAATTAATTTTTAATAAATTTACTAATTGAAGATATATATTCGTATTAGCTTATCTTCAATTATGTATTTTCCTTTATAATAATTAAAATGTACATATAGGCAGTATTAAATCAAAATTAATTATTATGTATTAAAAGCATATGATTTTATATTCTTATGTAATTATATATATTTTAGTAATAATTTATAATTTATATACATATATATGTACAATATATATAATTCTAAATGATATAATTATTATATACATATGTATATAATTCAACTATTATTTTTTAATTATAATTTATAATTATAATTTATTAATTACATATATATATATTTATTTATTAATTATACATATTAATCATATAATTATAATATTAATTATCAACACATTTTCTTGTACATAATTTTTTATGGTATCATCGTATAATTTTATATCTCTTATGTTTAATTTTGTGATACATTTATTGCATTACACAGAGCTTAGCGAAGACATGCAATATGTACGAAAAAGTTTTTTGCGCTCTATAAAATTCTTGCGTCCTATGAAACCTCGGATATTTCACGAGACCTTATAAAACGTCATAAACTTCAACGAAACTCGGCGTAACCTCTTAAACTTCTGTGAAAGCAGTAGGCTCTCATGAAATTTGTATGAAGCTTTAAAAATGTTTAATGATCTTACGAAAAGCAATCGAGATCTCCCTGGATAACAGTGACACGTTTTCCTAAGTTGTAGAGATCATTATCTGATAATGATATAAAAGAAATTGACATTTTTTATGACAGTTTGATAATTCTATATTTTCTATATAAGATTAATATTTAATCAACTTTTAAACAAAACATTTTATAGATTTACTAATAAGAATTTAGCTACATAAAAAATACGCCACAAATCGCATATTATTTATATTGAGAATATTTAATTAATTAGAATAAGAGATATACCTATTAATTATGTCAACTAATTAAAAAAATTACAAAGCAAACACGTATCAATCAAAATAATCGTATCGTACATATCTTTTAAAAATAATCATTTCCTGTTAATTTATAAGAACTATACTAATATGATTCAATAAAATATGAACACATCCAAGAGATACTCGTATAAGCTATACAAATGTAAATAGTAAATAATATTCAATTATTTTATTATTTCTATATCATGAAAGAGAAATTATCGTTTTTGTAATTGATTACTCTTTTTTTTCTCTTGAGATTTTTAACAAAAAAAAAAAATTTTGTGTTCGCGAATCTTCTTCATAATTTGTTGAAGTTTATTATATTATTTTGACAAGATATCATTCACTTTGAAACATTTACAACACTCGATAAGTTTTCCTACAATATTGTTCGTATATATACGATTCAACACTATCGAGCATGTATTATTATGACAACAATAGATGATACAATATTTTCGATCTCCATATTGCTGCATACATTATGCAAAATGTGCGTTTACTTCGGTCGACATCGATAATTCAATCATTTGTCAACATTTGCCTGTTGAACGTGAAAGGGAGAGGTGGGAGGGGGGGAAACGAAGGGGGCGGGATCGACGTCCTTGTTAAATGGAAATCGAAATCGAGGGGCACGGCCGTCCTCGCAGGTTTGATCGTTGCGCAAGTACGGCATTCTCGATCGTGAATCACGATCGGCGAACCATGTGCGCGCCGGAGTGCCGGCTGTTGTGCAAGCCGAGATGTAAATGTGTGTCACACTTACCGAGTTTCCCGTGTTCCACTGACCTTAGTCTAGTCAGGGAATAATGCAGAATCGGGAAAAGAGAAAGAGAGAAGGGAAGCAGAGATTTATCGTGCGTTACAACAAGCGAGTCACGATTTGTTTCTATTAGCCGCGCTCCACGCATTGAATAATGTATCAAAAATAGTTAAGTGAGAGTTTGTACAATATATTTTATGCCGTGAGATTTCATAGTAAAGAGTGATTGGAGAAAGTCGTGAACTCTAAATTAAAGGAAATTACATAACGAGTTCCATTGCTTTTTTCTTTTTATTTGTTTAACTTTTAAAGATACTTTTCAGCTATTTAAACGAATTTATCGAAATTATAATATACAAGTCAAGCGTATGATTTTAATAATTAGAGGATTATATCAACAAAAAAAAGATGAGATAAATAAAAATTTATTAAATAAAAGGCAATCTATTAAATAAAAACGGATCAAGTTACGTCAAGTTAAACTTCTACATCGTGTGTAAAACTAATTCATCGTAAGTCGTGATCATATATTTTGTGTTACAAAATCGATACTTACAAAGGTACGAGGGTATCAAAAAGCCACTTCTCTTGATCTCTGAATTCAGTACCGTCCAATCCGGTTATCGCACATTTACGGTTACAGCAAGTGTATCTCTCTCTCTATTGTTCTCCTTTAATAACAACATTGTTATTTCGAATTGCTCTAACGCTAATTTCATCACAGGATCACAAGCTTTTCTAACACCGGTTTTCTCTCTCCCGATACACTAACTTTATACCCTTTATTTTAATTGTTTCCAATATTTCGCTCTTTTCATTCTTATTTAATTAGAATTAGTTACAAACCGTATCGTTGGTAATAATGCTCAAGTAACGAAACAATTAATCATCGAAATGTTCGTCTATTTTGAATAACGCTATACTATTCCACAATCAACCGGAAACTATTATGATGAATAATATAAGAAATATGATTGTAATAATAATACATGAATTTTTAAATCGGCCAATAGAGCCCAAGCGCGAAAAATTAATTCTTCGGAACTGTATCTCTTGGTTTGAGATTACTAAGTTCCATATATAAATTAATCTCGAACTTACATATATTTCTTATCTGAAATATGATTGTGTTTGCAGATCGTCACTGGTGCTCTTCGTCGCGTTTTGCGCGACGTGCGGCCGCGCGGACTTTTTCAGCGACAGAAAGGGTGAGTTTCAACAAAATTAATTTTTAGCGCTAATGAACTCCACGATTCTCGCGAGGATTTCTACGTTTCCGGCCGTTTCTGAGTATCTTACTCGCTGACGATTCGCTGCAATATTCTCCTCCGGGAATTCTCCCCGAGTGAGGGTACTTCGCGCGAATATTCAGCAGCTTTTTTCTCAACGACACACCCTTCTTCTGCGCTCCCCATTAGGATTCGCCTTACGTGACTGGTGATTTATTACTATGTTAAGTACGGAATATATTTAGTCAAGCAGTGAATAATGATATCAAATGATAAGAGTTGCAGACAAATTGTCGCGAATGTGCATGAATTTACGTATACTTTGCGACCAGGACATCGATTTTACGTGACGATTTTAATTACGACAAATATAAAAATAATTTTGTTTTTATTCTGACACTCTGTAATAAAGTGTTCCTATTAAAATATGGGAATAAAGCTACACTTTTATCATTATAAATGATAATGATAAATATTTAATACTGTTTACACAGTATTGAACATCTATTTACCAACATTAATAAATTAATATTAAATATGTTTTATTCGAATTAAATTATAAGCGTTTTATATTCGAATGATTTTTAATATTATTATTTATAGCTTTGAGCGAAAATTCCCCAAAATATAATTTTTATATTTAATTCGAGTTCTTGATACTTTTCTTCGTAAACAAGATCTTTGGTAAAATTAATTTATACTGATAAACGGAATCTGTCGACTAGAATAAAAATGAGTGATTTGTTTTTAACTCTTACGAGATGTTCACTATTCGTTTCTCCAGATTAGATTCGAAAGCATCGTAACAAAAGCAATATCATTCTTTTTCTCAAGAAACAAATTTAATTGTATAAAATCACATATTGAGATTCTCTTAAATTCTATATTAATCTGAAGATTTTGTTTAATTTATTATTATACATATTTTACACCTGTAATTTAATGTTTTTAATAACTAAAATTTAATGCTGGTCAAATCATATAATGATTCAATATTGTCGGCTATATCACTATCGATTAATTATTCCATGTACATAAATAGTTTTGGATAAGAGAGATAACTAAAAAATTCACGAATAGCCCGATCTACCGATATTTTCTATATTAATGTACTGAATGTTTTTTTTTTAGATTTATTAATGCTTTAATAAATATCTATATAATATATTGGATTTTAAAGAGAAATCAAACTCCATTAAAATCTGTTGCAAAATGCAAAATTTGGTTTTTTATATGAGAAAAATAGATTTAGATTTCCATGAAAAATGAAGTAAAATGAGTCTACTTTTGCGATATATATATATATATGTTGAAGCGCATTTGATGTCGCTGGATCATGTCTATGTCGAAATATAACTGTGCAATGTGCTCAGTTCGCATCGTCGGGATGCTTAATACTCAGAGCGGATTCCATGCTCTCGTCACGTCTCACTCTAATCTACCAGTTTTATAAGGATACCCCGACGATTCCTGAGGGAATCTGAGGATTTTTCACTTCCCCTTCCTGACAAGAGAACCGCCAGTTGCGCACCTCGGCAGTAGTAAAGCCGACGTATGGTCAGACATGCCGCAATCCCGTAATCTCGCGCTGTGTTCTCGTTTTCTACTTAGAACTATTCCAATATCTACTTATTCCTATCTACCTCACTCTCGCAAGTCGAAGTGCGACAGGCATTTCCGAGATTCTACATAACGAATAATTTCTAATTCGATCGAAAAGCAGCTATCCGAAAATCAAATTTGAAGCAATTTCTCTGTGAAACACCATTTTAATAAATAAGAAATAAATGTCACAGGTCAGTAATAAAATATGATAAAACTAGACTATTATTACGCAACAATAAAAAAAAAGTAATAATGCGTTTCATGGAATTTTTATTAATGCTACAAGAAATATCAACAGCGTCAGATAAATCATCCACGTTCGGGGGACGGGTTAATAAAGCAGTGTCTTTGAGCATAATTATTGTCTATTGTCTCTTCGTGAAATGCAATGATTATTTCCGTCGCGTTCTGGTTCTTCCGCGAGGATTTCATAACTCGACGGCGACGCTCCGCAAACGCAAAAGAAAATTTAATCTAGCGCCGACCGTTTTTATTAAGAATAATAAAACGAACGGAAAAACGACGTTACCGCTTTATCTCTCGTCGTAATAAGAACGAATTAACGCGAGGTTTCAATTTGCGCACTTATTCTTGCGTAATATATTAAAAAGTTGCTCATTCGCTCGCCAACGTTCGGAAAAAATATATTATACCCTCGCGTTTTCTCACGCGATAAGATTCGATCAACGTTCAGATGATCGCGACGATTACAATCTCGGCGAATTGTTATGGAAGAATCGGTTTCGCGTTTCTCTTATCACGGAGCGGATGCGCAAGAGGGAGTTTTCCAGAGAGAGTGGCGATATCGGTGGTGCACAGGATGGAGAAAGAGGCGGAACAAATAGCTCCCGCAGGATGCGAGATAACGCTGCTCATCCCTGCAGCCTCATTTGTATCCACCCCGTTCGTTTCGTTTTCCGCGGAAACCACCGCTTTTTGCATCCACCTCGCGTCCTACCTCGTCAATATTTAACGGCTCGCTCATCGATCAACGCGATTGCGCGGAAATGAGAATTTTTCGGCCCGTCTTCCGTTAAATTTTCTTATGGATCGCTCTTGTACAAGTTCTTTCCGCGCAAAAATATATTGTTTCAAGATCTGAATAGTTGGCAAAGTTCTGCAAGATGCGTTTGTGGCTTAAGAGAGCTTACGGTTTTCCGCAATTGTAGAAAATTCCGATTCTTTACAAAGATATTAAATTATGGGGAGAGATAATAATAATAGAGAAGAGAGTGAGAGAGAGATAAATCTTTTAAGAAGAATTATCTCTTTAAGCTACTCAAGCGTTTCAAATCTATCTCTTTATTAGAGATGATTATCTTGATTAATTATCTTGAATCCAGATATCTTATACACACAGACTTATAATAATATAGATGTCGGAATATATATTTGTTGTCGGTCGAATGAACGTTTTGGTGAGGCACTGCAAACTATATATAGACTATGCAATATAAACTGCAGATAAATTGGCGGGTTCTATAGTTGATTTACAGTCGCGTGATTTCGATAGAGCGATTCGCGCACGCCGCGAACGACAATCAACTGCGATAGACGATCATAAAGATGGCCAATTTTTGTCCCGATGACAGATTGAATCGAATCGAACGAGATACGCGTCGTGACTCGACGCGACGCCGCCCGACATGATTTTTGTGTCGATTTGATCCGTTCGCGCAGATTAAAAATTCTATCATAACCGGACGCGATTCCTATCCATTTTATAGCGGCGCGAGATTACGGGATTTGCGGAAATAATCTTCAGCGCGATGTATAATACCGCCGGAGAATCGTGTTCCCCATTTTTACTTGTCGACCGCGCACGCGAGATCTCCTTCTCTCTCTCTTTCTCTCTCCCCTTTTAACTCATGCAAAAAACTGCAAAATTAAACGCATTTCCCAAAGCGGATGGAAATCGTGCGCGGCGTTCAGATCCAATTTCCGCAAATTTATCTCGAGGCAAGGATAAATGCGTTTTATTGTGCGACGCCGCGCGCAGATTTATTCACCGGAAAATATTTCTTATATATATACATCTGGCTTTTTAAACGATAGTCCTTTTATTCTCTTACATTATATCGAAGATCGCAATGAATCAGGAAAACCATTGTTTTCTCTTTCTCTCTCTCTCTCTCTCTCTCTCTTCTCGCGGTGCGTTTGTGGAAAACTTGCACTCCACTCTCGAGATCTTTTCGCCGTAATTCTCCTTTCGATTCGGAAGGACGTATGCTACTAAAGGTAGAGCAGTAAAATCGAATCTAATTCCTTTGTGGTAAAGGGAGAATGTTTGTCGAGTTATTCTTCTCTAGCGTCAAGTTAAATTGTAAGAAGAGGAACTTTGATTTAATGCCCATGTATGTTTGAAATATTTCTGTGCATTGAAAATTTACATGCCATTGTTGCAATAAATTGCGAAAAAATATATTTGGGGAATAGCATGATGAGAATGTTTGCAGAAAAGTTTTATCCTTATTTTTCAAAAAACGAGAAACAATAACTCGAAATTACCAGTTTTACAAAGATTTCAGTTTTCAATTCACAAAATGTTCGTTTAAAAAAATTCACAAAATTAAAAAAATAAATAAAGATAATATTTCGAACTTTTTTTTAATAAACTATATATTATGAATATATTGAATATTAATATACAATATTATTCATAAAGAAGCATATTATACCTATTGATATTGCGAATAAAAAATTTCTGCATGAAAAATTCCCATAGGACAATTTGCGTCGACTGCTTTCATTCATGTTATCAATGTTCTATTCAGCATGTTCTAAAGAAAGCAGCTATGAAGCCTGGCTAATAAAAGAAAAATATTGGGTTTGACGTTATGGAAAATAAAGGAATGCTAGACACAGCGCGTATCGCTGCACCGGCGAAGAGAGTACCGGATAGTCTAATTTTCTAAAAACAGATGAGACGTCGGCACGATTAAAATTTATGAGACTGCGATCTGCGAGCAGAGTTAAAAGTGTAGGAAAACGCGACTGCTCTCGGTTTATTTTCCGCCTTCCACTTCCGGGAACGAGAACGAAATTAAGGCACAAGCCGCAAGCTATAAAAATTTTATACGCTTAGATTGATCGTGTCCTACAGTTGAAAAGTTCTATTTCTGTTTATTAATTTAGGGTAGTCAGTTAACAGATGCCTTCTATAAAGTTTTTCCAGTAATGTTCATCAATGATTAAGCTACATATAATTGACAAGCTTGGAAACTTTCGCATCAAATAAACTCGATTAGCAATGAAACTTTATTTAAACATTCTTTAAATTTAGCGTCTTTTAAGTGAATTTTCTACAAATTAAATATACAAATACTTTATTAAATTAAATTAATTTCAATTTATGAAGTTACTTTTCAAGATTC